TTTTATTCGTATAAAATAATTATTTTTTTTAGTGTGTTGGTATTTTTTCAACATGGAAAAGTTGAAATCATTGCAAATGATCAAGGTAACCGAACAACACCATCCTATGTTGCATTCAATGATAGTGAACGTTTAATCGGTGATGCTGCTAAAAATCAAGTAGATATGAATCCATATAATACAGGTTTTGATGTTAAACGACTTATTGGTCGTAAATTTGACGATGCAACAGTTCAAGCTGATATGAAATACTGGCCATTTAGAGTAATTAACGATGTTGGTAAAATAAAGATTCTAGCTGAATATAAAAATGAAATAAAATTATTCAGGCCTGAAGAAATTTCATCTATGGTTTTAATGAAAATGAAAGAAATTGCTGAAGCTTATATTGGCAGAAAAATCTCCGAAGCTGTTATCACTGTTCCAGCTTATTTCAATGATTCACAACGTCAGGCAACAAAAGATGCTGGTGTTATTGCTGGGCTTAATGTTTTACGAATTATTAATGAACCAACAGCTGCTGCTATTGCTTATGGTTTAGACAAAAAAAGTGTCTGGTGAAAGAAATATTCTTATTTTTGATTTGGGTGGTGGTACTTTTGATGTATCAGTACTTAAAATTGAAGAAGGTATCTTTGAAGTAAAATCAACAGCTGGTGATACACATTTAGGTGGTGAAGATTTTGATAATCGTATGGTTACACATTTTGTTCAAGAATTCAAACGTAAAAATAACAAAGATTTATCACAAAATAAACGTGGTCTTCGTCGTTTACGTACAGCTTGCGAACGTGCTAAAGTAAGTTAATTGAATCTATATTTGAAAATTGAATTTTTTAATTTATTTTTCTTTGTTTTTTTTTAAATAGCGTACATTATCATCATCATCACAAGCTTCAATTGAAATTAAGTCACTTCATGAAAGTATCGATTTCTATTCAACAATTACACGTGCCCGTTTTGAAGAACTTTGTGCTGATCTTTTCCGTTCAACACTTGAACCAGTTGAAAAAGCTTTACGGGATGCTAAAATGGATAAAGCAAGTATTCATGAAATTGTACTTGTTGGTGGTTCAACACGTATTCCAAAAGTACAAAAATTACTTCAAGATTTCTTTAATGGAAAAGAATTAAACAAATCAATCAATCCAGATGAAGCTGTAGCTTATGGTGCAGCTGTTCAAGCAGCTATTTTAACTGGTGATAAATCAGAAGAAGTTAAAGATGTACTTTTACTTGATGTTGCACCACTTTCATTAGTAAAAACTCTAAATTTGTTTGCCTTTTTTATTGACTATGTTTCCGCTTTATTTTAAAGGGTATTGAAACATCTGGTGGAGTCATGCGTATATTCATTAGACGTAATACACGCATTCCAGCAAAACGAAGTCAAATAATTACACCAGATTGGGATATGCAATCTATTGTTGTTATTAAGGTTTATGAAGGTGAACGTGCAACGGTAAGAGATAATCATTTACTTGGTAGTTTGACACTTCATAATATTCTACCAACTTCACGTGGCAAACCACAAATCGAAGTTACATTTGATATTGATGCTAATAGTATCTTAAGTGTTTCAGCTGTTGATAAATCAACTGGTCGAGAAAATAAAATTACCATTACAAATGATAAAGGTCGATTATCAAAAGATGATATCGAAAGAATGGTTTCTGATGCTGAAAAATACAAGAAAGAAGATGATGTACAACGTGAACGTATTTCAGCTAAAATATCACTTGAATCATATTGCTATAATATGGAAATAAGCATTAATGACGACAGGATTGCATCAAAAGTTTCAGCTAAAGATAGAGCTAAAATCTATGATACACATGACGAAGTAATTAAATGGATGAAAACAAATCAATTGGCTGAAAAAGAAGAATTCGAACATAAACTTAAAGAAGTTGAAAAAAACTTGTTCACCAATCATGACTAAACTTTATGGTAAGCTATAGAATATTGTTTCGAAAATATAGAATATTTTATTTTTATTTTCATTGTAGGAGGTGCTGGTGCTCCTCCAACTGGTAGGAAAGGAACAGGTGGTAAAGGACCAACAATCGAAGAAGTTGATTAAATATCGAAACAATAGACAGAATAACACACATTTAGAGACAAAAAAAGTGAAATCTTAAAGATCTAATTTA